GAGGATAACGTTCAATCTTAACTGAGCATTCGCCTGTGAAAATAACATCACTAAAAGTATCACAAAATGCCCGCTTTGGCTTTTTGTCAGTACTTTGCTCCGTTTGTGTCCTCCAGCCAAGTTTCTGCCGCATTCACCGAACAGTTTTCGGCGATACTTCAATGTTAAATCTCACTAAAAGTATTCGTGTAAATACAAGAGCTGAAAGTTCGTCTTTTGCTGGCATTTTTTCATCTATGGCGTTAAAAGTGCTTGGCAAGCTGGTTTACTTCTTCCTTTCCTCAGGCAATCACACAGACTACCGGTCGCTTTGTATCGTTTCGGAAAGAGAATTGCAATAAACTGGCCTTGAAGTTTTTTTACAATACCATCTTCCTGTATTTTTTGAGCAACTGGAGTCATATTTTCACCATGAAAATTTAAGTTTACAGTTTGTATTCTTGCATAAGTCGACAGTTTTAACCCATTTCGTGAAATGCAAATGAGTGTCGCTAATCTTGTAAACGAGTTCTCAGAAACCTCATTCTTGTGAATGAGTTCTAAGAACGCTTACCGATGGAACGCTAACAGAACGGGAACAGAACAGCACAGAACGGATAGAGAACGGATACAGAACAGATACAGAACAGATACGGAACGGAGACAGAACGGGAACGGGAATGCGTGTGGAATGGAAACAGAACGTATTCTGTCAAGCGTTCCCTGTGAGGTTTCTTCTGATTGGTACGGTACATATAGGACATATGGAGGATCTGGGTCATAATGGGCAATTCCTTCCATGAGATGTGCCTGATAGTACCGGTCAAAGGGACTGCAGCATTACATGCGTGTAAAGCATGTGTGCTACATGCATATTACATGCAGTGACCATGCACTTTACACGCACTAAAAACACTAATACAAGGGGAGGTGAATGGTAAATGCACAATGGCAAGATAAGCGTTTTTCTCTGCGAGCCGGAGACATTTTGAATTTTTTGATTGCTAGACCGAGACTTCAAAGTGTTTAAGTGAAAGTGCAAGACAAACTTTGGATTCAGTGGAGAGCTAGAATGAGCTTGTACAGCCTTTTAGCCAGCTTCTTCAAACTGGCTGGAGCTGGAAATTTGATTACAACACACTATGATATCCTAGGACAAAATAACTGTTCCAGGGTCCAAAACGTACGTTGCGGTTAGGTATTGTAGCTTTTTGTGGAATTCGGACAATTTAGGAGAAGTCGGGATTACCTTTTT